GATTAAGTTTTCTTCTACCTTCTCTTTGTGACTCTGTAATTTACAGACTAAAGTTTTCCTCTTTTATTGCTGTGGGTATTTTTCTAATTCATTTAAAGATTGGACCACTTTTTCTAATTTGAAATAAAAAAAATAGTTTTTAAAAAAAAGTATTTCAAAATTAGTCGAGCAATTTCTGTGAAATGCAAAGCTATGAGATTATCTTCCAAGGTCCTTAAATTGAAACCTCTGATTCTCATTCAGAAGGTAAGAACTCTGGTAGGTGGATCATGCCAAATCCAATCTACATATCGGCTGACTACTTGACAAACCATAATCACAAAAATGGTACCTCAGGAATCAGCACCACCAACTCCCGGGGCCGGTCATCCCCGTCTCCGTTTTTCTGATCTTTTCCAAACCGGTATTCCTTCACAGACAAGTTGGACGCTATCTCGCACATGCCGGGTTTATCGATATGGCTCGATTGGCCATCCGCAGTCAGGCTCTTCCAGCATGTCTCCGGGCGAGGCAGCCAATCATGTCCATTTCTAAGAAGGGGGGAAATTATGAAAACCCAGCCGATAAGAATGGCACTTAACAGCTACCTCCCTTTCCCAGGTTTTCTTTTGTTTTCTCTTGCTGTTTTTACTTCTTTCCCGCTGAAGACAGACGGTTTATTCTTGCAGGCTAACTGATCCTATGGAGAAATGCTAATAGAGCTTAATTTCGCTGGTTTCACTCGAACTTTCCCGGAAGGATTTGAGACTCTTTACAGAGCAATCCATTGCAGCCACTTGGGGAGTTATTGCATTTAGCGTAATGTGAGTGTCATATAGTCCTTTAAGGATTGAAGTCCCTTTAGACCAATAAACAGTTAAAAAAAAATTCTACACCGATATCGAGAATCAAACTGCACCTCCCTATGAATGAGCTTCCCTGTGCAGTTTGGAAACCACCGTCCTTCAGCGTGGGCGGAATAAACTCCAATATGACAGTCAAGGTGCTGTTTATGGACACAGCAGTTTGGGATTAAATC